GCACATGCGCAAAGGGGCAGGGGCGCACGCACAACTCTCACGCATGCACGAAGGGGCAGGAGGTTCTATGGCCATGGACCAGCACTGGGCCCTGATCTAGAAGGGGACCCCTGATCAAGAAGACTACGTCATTTTATCTCTTGATTGCCTGTTCTTCAGCTTATACCAACCATTCTCAAAGAGGGCCATATGGCCCTGCCACATTTGAAGGGATCTACAGACTGGAAACAGTTCTTCACACACCAGCTTATAAGGTTCCTTATGCAATGTATACAATCCTGATTTGTCCTATATTTCTTTCACATTGTGTTTATGCCCATGGCCCAAAAAACAGGCTGAGAATGGTTTCTATCTCCTTCAACCTTTTCCTATTTAGACTTTGCCTACAGATCCCTCATGATCTCTGCTACATACCTCTGGACAAGCCAAAACCTTACAGTATGATATCCAAAACGAGGTCTGACCAAAGAAGAATGGAGTGATACCATGATTTCTTGAGATCTTGACATAATGCTTCCATTGATGCTGCCCAGAATTGCAGTGGCCTTTCTAGCTACCACACTATATTGGTACTTCATGTTCCTCAGAAATGTTTCACGTGTGCTACTGTCAAGCTAGATGTCACCCATTCTATAATTGTGCATCTAATTTTTTCTATGAGGTCTGACCAAAGAAGAATGGAGTGATACCATTATTTCTTGAGATCTTGACATAATGCTTCCATTGATGCTGCCCAGAATTGCAGTGGCCTTTCTAGCTACCACACTATATTGGTACTTCATGTTCAGGTTGGGGCTTAAGGAAGCTCCTTCTTCAGAAATGTTTCACGTCTGCTACTGTCAAGCTAGATGTTACCCATTCTATATTTGTGCATCTAATTTTTTCTATCCAATGCAAAATGTTAACTTTTACCACTACTTAAATTCATTGCATTAAAATTGGCCCAGCGTTCTGCCCTGTCAAGATCTCCTTGAAATGCTTTCTAAGGCAGTGATCCCAAACCTTGGGCCTCCAGATGTTCTTGGACTACAACTTCCATAAACCTTTACCACCACCTCTGCTGGCCAGAATTTCTGGGAGTTGAAGTCCAAGAACATCTGGAGGCACAAGGTTGGGGACCACTGTTCTAAGGTATTACTGTACAATTATTCTGTTTCCTTTCATCTCCCAAAACTAAAAATATTATTTCTTACTTGAGATATAGACCAGCTGCAAAAAGGCTACCGCATGAAGACACCAAACTCTGATGCGTAAGAATTATTTCTCTTTCTTGCCCCATTGCTTGCCATTCAATGATTGCTACACAGACCCATTTTCAGAGGCCATAGTTATCAGAGAGGGGGGATGTTATAAGAGCGTAGAGCCTCCTGGCTACATGCATCATGTTTGCTTGGGTGATCAGGTTCCCATCCATGACTGTTTCTTTAGAGGAAACAAGCAATGCAACTCTCCATGCATGAAGACACCAAACTCTGATGCGTAAGAATTATTTCTCTTTCTTGCCCCATTGCTTGCCATTCAATGATTGCTACACAGACCCATTTTCAGAGGCCATAGTTATCAGAGAGGAGGGATGTTATAAGAGCGTAGAGCCTCCTGCCTGCATGCATCATGTTTGCTTGGGTGATCCGGTTCCCATCCATGACTTTCTTTAGAGGAAACAAGCAATGCAAGTCTCCATATACAAAAATGACTGCTACTCCTGGTAGAAGCTGCTTGTGTATGACTATCTCAGAACACTATGGCCTAATTAAAGAATCAACGGGCTGAGTTTGCCAAATGCATCTGAGTTTAACAATTTATGAAGAATAGAGTCTCCTGAATGTCCTACTCTGAAGTGATGCAATGTTTGTCTAAAATGAACAAAATCATTAGTACAAAACCTAGAATTCAGAAGCAGGACAATAAACCAAGCTAGACCACTAGATGGGTTATTTTCATTTATTTCATAACAACCATCCATGCAACTATCTGACATAGTTACAAATCCATTACAAATCTGCAAGTGAGAAACAATTCTGAAAAATGGGCTAAACCTCAATACAGATATGCATTACAGTTATCATTCCCCAGATGTTTCATTCATTGCCTTAAACATTTAATTTTCACTGCTGTTGACTTCTTCCGCCTCCATAATGACTAAACATTCATTATATCAAGCTTGTTATGGCTGGGAACAGAAGTGAGTAATTTAATATCAGTTCCCCCAACACTGCCACTTGAACAAACATTAAAACCATCATGTCTAGAAAACAAATATGTATTAAAAATAAGTACAGTATATACACCAAATTCAGTGACAGTCAAGGTAGAAGTTGATTCACAGAAGCTTGTCTTAGGCCTGACACATTTTTCCCCAGTACTACTATACCAAAAATAGACCTGATTGTGCATTAAATATACATGACAATGACTAGATCTCCATGTAGAGCGTAGCCAAGCTTGCAAAACAGAAGCTGCGTACACATTCCTGTCTACTTGCTGAACTTTGGAGGAAATCTAAAAACCTAGTGTTTCCATCTCTAAAATCTTCTTGTTGCTTTTTTATTATTATTATGTGCCATTCAGTTACTTCCAAATTATGGCAATTCTAATATGGCTTTCAAGATACATGAGAAATTTAAGGAGTGATGTACCATTACCTCCCCAGTAAATTTCCATGACCAAGCAGGGATTTGAATGGAGGTCTCCTTAGCCTCTACACCAGCTCTCTAAAAAGAAATCTCTAAAATCTTAAGCCATGTCAATTCACAAGTGGGAGTACACAGAATAGTTTCACTGCATCTGCATTGCTCCTACACGACCTATAGATTCAGTGGCAAACGCTGGGGATTGTTCCCTTTTGTCTAGCCTTTTGGAAGCCAACAGCCAATGTTCATGCCTTATTTGTGAACTGGTGGGCAAATAAAAGCCATATATGATAAGAAGCCCTCTATGCTGATGCTAATTAACACAGCAAGGCAGTGCAGAGAGATGTAAGCAAAGCAGGAAAATGGAGACTGAAAAAAGCAAAATGGGAGGGAAACCTGTGTGTGGGTGAAAGAGGAAGATAGTTAAAGAGACAAGGACTTCCAGTCTGTACCTCCCCTTTCATCCTAACAGAAGGAGGACATTTCCACATAATAATTGCAGATGGAGATGAAATGGTTCCTCCCTCCACCTGATTCTTCCCACAAATGTTTCTCACATCTTTCTTGATGCACTATCCCCACCAAAAAGATTGGGAGAAGGCCAACTATGAGGAAGAACTGTTCTATTTAAAATGGCGTATTGTGCTACTTATCACAATCGACAAGTTGAGTGGTTCCCAACCTTGGGTCTCCAGATGTTCTTGGAAGAAATTATGCAGTTTCATCCTGGCCAGCACAGTTAGTGGTGGAGGCTTTGGGGAGTTTTAGCCCAAGAACATCTGCGGACCCAAGCTTAGGAACAACTGCTTTAATCTCCCTTCCACAAGCTTTTTTTTAACAAAGTACTATTTGAATCTTAACTCCCACAGATAAAATGTTCTGAATGAGAGAAGGCGAGAAGAGAAATATGTCTGAGATGTTCAGAATTTGCTGCTCACTGAAATTACAAAAGCAACAAAGAGTGGTGTACAAAACACCAGCAAGATGGGCATAAATCTCAAGCTGAAGTAGGTATCTAACTACTTCAGTCATTTTTTGAAACCTTACTCAAGAGCACATGAACAGTTTGTGCAGACAAGGATTAGAAGAATGTGGAGTGAATGACAGCCTTTCAAGAATGTTTGCTAAGGAGTGGCACGTATTCTTTAGCAAATATTTGGGAATAATACACTGCCATTTTTGTTACATGATGAAAAAAAAAAGTTAAAATTACTATACCATAACAAATGAGGTTTTGTGGTGCAACCTTGCCACTTGCATCATCAGAATTGCAACCTTTGATTTTGAAATGAGAAGCATGATATATATCAGGAAAATAATTATATGCTGTAGGACTATAATGCCTAAGCGTGTTTGTATGCTAGGAATCCACTTTAATGTTTTGGCTTTGCAGAATCTTTGACAGACAGCATTCTGTAAATTCCGAGTTTTATTTCAAAAGAACTTGCGTTTTGAATGTATTGTGTTCCTATCCCTATGAAGGCAGAAATAGAGAACATATAAGGAAGGAAACCACATGTCAGTTTACTACTACTCCCATCGTGATTTCCTATTTGTCTGACTGGCAGTGGCTGATGCCAATAACAATTCAACAACTCTGGGAATGTCATACATTCCCCATCCCTGATACAGACCAGGGCTTCTCAAACTGAGGTCCCCTGATGTTCTTTTTGACTGCAATTCCCAGAAGCCTTCACCACCTGCTGTGCTGGCCAGGATTTCTGGCAGATGCAATCCAAGAACACCTGGGGAACCAAGTTCGAGAACCTGATGCAGACCATCAGCATCTGATGAAATTGCAAAGTGACTAAAAGATCAGGCATCTGCATTTAGATCTTCAGTGCCTTGTATCTCCCTACAACCGCCTTGAGTACCAGTTCCTGAAGCTTTTATCGTGTACCTATTTTTCCATCCTGTTATTTCCACAGTTTATTATTTTAAAAAGGAAAGGAAAAGAACAAATAATAACACAGATGTTATGAAACTGCATGATTTGTGCCAATTATAGGACATGTGATTATTCCCTTAAGTTAATTCTCATGATATAGATGAATCACAGCTCCCATAACCCCTGATCAATGGCCATGCAAAGACTTCTAGAAGCTGAGTCCAACAACATCTGAGTAATCAAAGTCAAGAGCCAAGAAATAGTTAAGGTCATGACTTGATGATGTTTTTTCAAAGTAAGAGTTGAGTTACACATTAGGAAATGATACAGCAAGGTCAAACATGCAGAGACCTCAAGCATTCTGTTAGAAACACAAAAAATGCATACTTCAGTGTTTATTCACAGCAAGCCATGCTTTCCATAATTACAGAATCTAGTCACAGATCTTCTGGCTGTATACATACTTGGCAAACAAAATGACATCAGTTCTGAACTAAAAATCCCCTGTTCCCATTTAGTTCCATGATGCTACTAAAAACTTCCTAAGAGGAAAAAGCATCAGAAATTATATGGAATCAAAGTTATCTACTGAGGAGAAGTCCTAAAGCTTGATGTTCCTTGTGACTGAAAACTGATGGGATGCAAACATGCCAGCTTTAGATTTTGATACATGAGTTGAGGCTACAAGCTGGTTAAAATGTACTCGTATGCTGTGGCTGCCATTAAGGATGTCTAAACAAGCTATGCTGACAATCCATGCACATAAGGTAACCTCTGGGCTCCTCTTGTCCAATGATATGTAGCAGTAACACACCAGCATCAGCTACTCCACATGACTGGAACGGCAAACTGGGAGTTCGATTTCACTCTACTAATACAACCAAAGCCTTCTCAGGAGAAAGCAGTGACAAAACTATAGACATTAGCCTTTGGCCCCACATGTCCCTCCTTCGAATATGAAGGAATCATCTACTAAAAAAAAAAGCAAAACTAACAATTATTTTTCCATCTTACACAGGTAATAAAAATTTTAATGCTTAAATATATCTAGGTTTATTGTGATATATTAGTCTTCGCCAAAGCTTGCCTATGTGTAGTGCATGCTTTAAAGGTTAATAAGATTTTCCTGACACTTATCTACTCAAAAATTACTCTAGAAATAGAGCAGAATATATCACTATTTCAATCTTCTTTCTCACAGATAATGTTTCCCATCCCATAATAGTCATTTCCACACTGGCTCTCACCTTGACAAACACAAATCCATCCTAAAGAACAACCTTGAAAATAAACCTACAGAATCTCAGTAGCACACCTTACTGCATATAGTTGTGGTTGTTGTAGTAAGTAACTTACTCAAACAAACTCAAAAGGTTTCTCAAAATTAGGTAATCAAATCTAAAGATATGCAGGTTGAGGATCATATTTGTTTGTAAATGTTCCCGATACAGAAAGCTTTCTGCATGTGGTAAACCCTTAAAAATATATGGGCTTGCTTATTGTTCATTTACTGTAAGAAAGTAGTTCTCTATATTACAGGGCACACAAATTCAACACACTCAATTACAGTCCAAAGTAAGACAACACAAATTTCTGTCACCTGAGCCTATCATTTAATTTAATGCACAGAACAGGTCTTATTTGGAGCACATCAATAACTTCCCAGTGGCCTGGCAAAAGAGATGAGAAATTCTAACAGTCAACAGAAGCACAAATGGAAATGAAAAGTGACTCCAAAGGGGTGGCTATGGAGAGAAGTAATCAGTTGTGTGAGAAGACAACAACCCAGCAAAAGAAAGCACAGGGGCCACCACAGACGTGATTAACATAATAGCTGAATATTACATGACAGGATCATCCATACACAAGCAGCAACAAGCACTTGAATGGCTGTGGAGCGCTCTAAATGCTGGAGTCATTGAAGAGAAAATTGGACAATTCTCTATCACAGCTGCTTTAATTTGGGTTCCTGGACTGTGCAGGGGTTGGACTTGATGGCCTTATAAGTCCCTTCCAACTCAATTATTCTATGATTCTATGAAGTAAAATTAGACAACTGAGTTATTATAGTGGTTCCACAAATACTATTGATATTCTGCTGCTAACCACATTTCTAGTTGTATTCAATTCTATATCAGTCTAACCATTCAATCTATACAGAAATCACATTTCACTAAAAGAAACATTCATAAAGAGCTGTTCTCCTGCTCATGCAACCTCAAGAACTCTGGGGACCACTCCCAACCTGATTAGATACAACAGGCAAGGCTATCCTCACTCACCTCAACCTGCTATAAAACTACAGACAGTTATACTGTAGGAAATACTGTTTGTCTCTTTGGGACATCTGCATTTTTAGTACTATTAACCCCTTCGTGACCCATGGACCAGAGCACGATAGGAGGGCCTGGCGTGCTCTGGTCCATGGGGTCAGGAAGAGTGGGACACCACTAAACGACTAAACGACGATGATTAACCCCTTTTATGCCTTCTACTGTTATTTCACTTAAGTTTGTTTCCAGTTCAATTTGATATTTGGATGATGCAATATGGTCCCTTTTCTTTCACTCTACTTTGACCTAGTTTCATGCTGAAGCATCTTAACCTTGTTATTTTGACACATCACTAATTTTCTGTTTTGAAACAGTAATTACAGGATGTTTTATATGCCAAGCAAAAGCACAGGGAAACGCATTACAACATATTCTATTACACTTCTCCACTAGGAATGAGTTATGTCAAATGTTGTCCATTTCTAAACTTTCAATGCCTTCATTCCTATCCCATCTATCAAAAGTTATTTTTAAGTTCACATTCCACTCAACACTATTACTTAAGAGAATAATCACTGGTGAATGCCTATACACAGAGTACATGTAAAGTACATGTAAAGTAATTCCCTTTTTTTAAAACTATTACTTAAGAGAATAATCACTGGTGACTGCCTATACACAGAGTACATGTAAAGTCATGTGTTTGGTTTTTTTTTTAAAGGGAATGAGGAATATATGGCTCTCCAGATGTTTTTAAACTTGAATTTCCATTAATCCCACTACTAATGGCTGTTCTAGCTGGGACTAATGGGAGAGGTCATTAGCAACATCTGGAGTATCTATCATACATTCCTAACCCATATTTTTAAAATGAAATTATTTTCAAAACAACACATATTTGCCTTCCCTAGGAGGAAATGCTAGATACAGAACTACTGAATAAAGAAATACCAATGAAGGCCCTCAGCTTTTATAGTTGTTTCTACCCCTTTAAATGATGTGAGAAAGGCTGGAAATGTAATACTTTTCCACAGCTGCTGCTTCTTGCTCAACTTCCAACATCCTTTAGTTATTGTTTTCTTTTCCACTTAATATTTGAGAAATATGATTAATGGCACTCTATGCTTTTTAAATACATATATTAAGATTAAATACTTAACTTTTAATTTGCATTTATATGCTATAAACTTTGTTAGCTGCATAGAACTCTTTGAAATAAGCAAGAAAAAGTCTGCATTATGCTCTGTTTGGTGCCAAAACCTGGGCGGTGGCATGAGGAGGAGTTAATTTAGTGCCTCCATATACTGTGTAACAGCAGCGGAGGTGCTTATTCCACATACTGCTTGCCATAGGACGACCAGAGCCATCACTCATGTAGTTCTGAGCCAGTGTGTGCAAAGAGAAGGCGGGCTCTTAGTGACAATAGACTGGTGGGACGGGAAGCTTCTGACTGCCTGCAAACAAAAAGAGACGCAGAGCTCCACAGGCATCATAAATCAAGAAGAAAAAACTGGGATTTCTTTCCCACTTTAACCCTTCCTTGCTGACACTGAACAAAAAGGAAAAGTTTTCTTATTCAAGAAGATATACCTTCCTGGAAACAGAGGGTGAAACAGAAGTAGCAGAACAAATGGGGAGGGATGGGAAGTTTTTTTAAAAAAGGAAAGAGGCGTATGCCAGCAGATGACACAGTAGGAAAAAAAAACCCACTTGCTTCTAGCATTCATGGCACTGAAATTGGTAAGTATCCAAAAGTCAAAGGGAAAAAAAATGGCTGTTGCCCCACCCACTCTCTGTGCGCACATGAATTCCTCGGAGTGCTCCCTACTCCACAGCAGCCGACTGGAATTATTCCTGTTCACACCCTCATTTCCCCCCCCTCCAAAAAAGTGCTGGCATTTGTAATCCGAAAGTCTGGACAAAACCAAACGCTTTTTCGAAAGAGCTGTGCATGGACAAGCTCCAGACACAAAGGAGCCCCACGCCGCCGTCTTCACATGACAGATCACAAGCGCTACAATAGGTTATAGCTATTGTTCTGGCCAAGGAGAGTGACAGAGCATATTAAGACCTTCCTATCAGCAAAAGCCCTTCTCACACCAGAGGGGCTCCATCCAAGCACACGTGGACCCACAAAGCCTTTGCCACTCCCATCGTGTCCACTGCAGAGACAGCCCCCCCCTCCGCCCAGCCCTTTCCTGGGCTAAACTACCAGAAAACCACAGTGTACCCCCACCCCGAAAAAAGGGCTGCTGTGTTTCTGTTCTCTCCTACTTTAACTGGAACCGTTGTCAGTCCTTTCCACCAAAGAATCAATTCAGACATTCACTGACCACTGGTCTCGCCAGCCACTCCCTTCACAAAAACTGCCCTCGCCATGATGCCCTAAAACCCCTTCTCATCGCAGGCTGCCATGCCTAGATTACAGACCCGGACGCGCCTTCTTTCCACAACCACTGGCTCAAAATCCCGCTTGCCAAGATCTACCTGAACCCCAATACTTTTTGGTTCTCCACTGCATGCACACAGACACCCTTGCCCAGAAAACACACCTCCACCTGTTCCACACAGCATGCCTCACTGCCTCCTGAAACCCATCCCCACTCTCTCGCCTGCTGCCTCCTCGCCCAGTTGCCCACATGTTCCTCACTAGCAGCCCCCCATGCCCCGCAGACCCCAAGATCTACCTGAACCCCAATACTTTTTGGTTCTCCACTGCATGCACACAGACACCCTTGCCCAGAAAACACACCTCCACCTGTTCCACACAGCATGCCTCACTGCCTCCTGAAACCCATCCCCACTCTCTCGCCTGCTGCCTCCTCGCCCAGTTGCCCACATGTTCCTCACTAGCAGCCCCCCATGCCCCGCAGACCCCTAATGGGCTTGCAAACCAAAACTGGGGGTCACCCCAACCTTTGGGGGGTGGCTCACCCCAACCTTTGGGGGGTGGCTCACCCCAACCTTTGGGGGGTGGCTCACCCCAACCTTTGGGGGGTGGCTCACCCCAACCTTTGGGGGGTGGCTCACCCCAACCTTTGGGGGGTGGCTCACCCCAACCTTTGGGGGGTGGCTCACCCCAACCTTTGGGGGGTGGCTCACCCCAACCTTTGGGGGGTGGCTCACCCCAACCTTTGGGGGGTGGCTCACCCCAACCTTTGGGGGGTGGCTCACCCCAACCTTTGGGGGGTGGCTCACCCCAACCTTTGGGGGGTGGCTCACCCCAACCTTTGGGGGGTGGCTCACCCCAACCTTTGGGGGGTGGCTCACCCCAACCTTTGGGGGGTGGCTCACCCCAACCTTTGGGGGGTGGCTCACCCCAACCTTTGGGGGGTGGCTCACCCCAACCTTTGGGGGGTGGCTCACCCCAACCTTTGGGGGGTGGCTCACCCCAACCTTTGGGGGGTGGCTCACCCCAACCTTTGGGGGGTGGCTCACCCCAACCTTTGGGGGGTGGCTCACCCCAACCTTTGGGGGGTGGCTCACCCCAACCTTTGGGGGGTGGCTCACCCCAACCTTTGGGGGGTGGCTCACCCCAACCTTTGGGGGGTGGCTCACCCCAACCTTGGGGGGGTGGCTCACCCCAACCTTGGGGGGGTGGCGTCTCACCCCAACCTTGGGGGGGGTGGCTCACCCCAACCTTT